AAACCTGCCTGCCAATGCAGGAGATGTAAGGAAGTCCAATTCGTTCCCTGGGCTGGGAAGATTCCCGGATGAAGGGAATAGCAACCCACTCCAGTACTCTTGCCTGGAGAATCCCATGGACAGAGGAGCCTGGCAGCCAACAGTCCATAGGGTCACGCAGAGTAAGACACAACTGAAGCAATTTAGCATGCATGCATACACATTTATGAGTGAAGCTGAGGGTGTAACAATTAGGCCTCAGTAGTTATTTAAAATCCCAGCTGTTTTAAGACCTAGCTCTCTTACCCCGTTGTCTCAGGCCTGAAATGGGATGGTACCACAAAGACTTGCTCTGAGACTCAAGTAATGTGGAGGAAACAAGTGAAAAAGGACCCTTTGTCTTTTAATCCGGCTTTGTGGACACGTTACATGCCCATGGGATGTATAGGTGACAAGTAAAAGGGACCTACAGAGACTGACTACCCATATAGACTGAGGGGGGCTGTTTTTGTCTTAAATATTCCTTTGACCATATTTCAGCCATAAAAGGGAAAGAAACTGTCATTTTCGAGGATGTCAATGGACTTAGAGTCTGTCATACAGAGTGAAGCAAGGCAGAAAGAGGAAAACAAATACTGTCTATTAATGCATATATGTGGAATCTCATAAAATGGTATCAATGAGCTTATCTGAAAAGCAGAAAGAGAGACACGGATGTAGAGAACAAACCCATGGATACCAAGGAGAAAAGGTGGAGCAGGATGAACTGGGACATTGGGATTGACATATTTACAGTATTATGTATAAAACAGGTAACTAATGAGAACTGACTGTATAGCATAGGGAGCTCTACTCAGTGCTGAGGTGACCTAAGTGGGATGGGAATCCAAGAGGGAAGATACGTATACGTATGGCTGATTCCCTTTGCAGTACAACAGAAACTGGTAATGGCAGTGTAAAGCAACTATGGTTGGTGTTCAGTTGCTCGGTCGTGTCTGACTCTGTGACCCCATGGACTGCAGCACCCCAGGCTTCCCTGTCCATCACCAACTCCCAGAGCTTGCTCAAACTCAAGTCCATCAAGTTGGCGATGCCATCCAACCATCTCATCCTCTGTCGTCCCCTTTTCCTGCCTTCAATCTTTCCCAGCATCAGGGTCTTTTCCAATAAGTCAGTTCGTGGCATCAGGTGGCCAAAGTATTGGAATTTCAGCTTCAGCATCAGTCCTTCCAATGAATATTCAGGACTGATCCCTTAGGATTGACTGATTTGATCTCTTGCTGTCCAAGGGACTCTCAAGTCTTCTCCAACACCACAGTTCAAAGGCATCAATGTTTCGGCACTCAGCTTTCTTTATGGTCCAACTCTCACATCCATACATGACTACTTACTAATGCCTTTAGTATTGTAGTAGCTCCTCCCTCCAAATTCTGAGGTTCTCCATCACGCCATCCTGAATATTTGCTTTTCAGCACTGACCTGACCTGGGTTCGATCCCTGGGTGGGGAAGACCTCCTGGAGAAGGAAATGGCAACCCATTCCAGTATTCTTGCCTGCAGAATTCCATGGACAGAGGAGCCTGGTGAGCTATAGTTTATGGGGTCGTAAAGAGTCAGACACAACAGACAAATACGACTTTTACTTCCAACCCAAAATGCTTATCTTCACTTTTTTCCCATTTCCCCATAGTTCTGCTGAGTCACGTGGGAGGAGGGGTCTGGGCATTTTAAAACTCGGTAGGCAATATTTGGGATTCCTTGGTGGCTCATTGGTAAAGAAGCTACCTGCCAATGCAGGAGACACAGGTTTGATCCCTGGGTCAGGAGAATCCCCCGGAGAAGGAAGTGGCAACCCTCTCCAATAGTCTCGCCTGGGAAATCTCATGGACAGAGGAGCCTGGCAGGCTACAGTTCACTGGATCACAAGAGTTGGACACGACTTAGCAGCTGACAAGGCAATCCTTACAGTTGTCTTGAAGCCCCAGGAATGGCTGACACATGCTACCTGCCCTGGCTTACTCCACACTCATCCAGCCTTATTTCCTCCAGAATGCTCACTGACTACCCAAGTAAGGGCTCATCCACTGAGAGCCTTACCTCACCTACTCCTAGTGTAGGAGATCAACTGCTGGTGTAAACCATTTATTGCTCACGTGGGAATCATCAAGGGCTAGCACTGACTAGTGCCAATGTAGACATCTACTGCTAGTGCAGGGGCTCACCCACTGTAGGATCCGTTGGTGTTACCCCTCACTCACAAGATTTCAGGTCATGTCCACGAGCCCGCATGTTCTTTGTGGTCTGAGCCTCGAACACTGGGTGGCACCCCTGGGATGCGGGGATATTTGTAAAGCTGAAGATCAGTCTGTTTGCCAATAGGTGTCAGTGAAGCTCATTTTCTTTTTCCATCAACTGGTGGAGGGTAGCAGAATGTCACCCCAAAACCATTCATTTGCCATAGATTATGTAATCAAGCAGACCCTATGGGGCTTTCTCGGGACAGACCTTTCCTCCTTTCCCCATGTCCTCTGCTACAGTTCCTCTCTGGAGTACACAAATAACAGTATCTGATGCACAATCCCTGAATTGTTTTTACAGATGCTAAAACCATCAAATGGAAGAAACTACTTGATGATCTGGGCCCCGAGACCTTCTGGAGCCTAAGGTTGGTTAATATCAGCCACTCTGCTCTTTCACCATCAACCAGAGAACCGTGTGCATGAGCTGATGGCATACCTTGAGCTCCCCCCTCCCTCACCTGGCCTTTAAGACTGCCTGGTTGAAACCTTTCAGGGGGTCTGGGGTTTTAGAGCGCCCTGCCCTCCCGCTGTTGGTGCCTTTACGGTAAATACTGCATTTCCCCCGCACTGCCCGGGGCTAGTGGGCTGGCTTTACTGCTCGCTGGCAAGCCAACCCAAGTTTGGCTTGGTAACAATTATTGTGAGCTGGAGGTATTTAAGAAGCAAATATAAGGTCCCTGCCTTTCCCCTTCTGTCTAAAAGCAGGACATACATTTTCAGAGTTATCTCTGTTCCCCGCCCCCCCACAAGAAAGATGTGGAGACTCTAGATCCTATCAGTTTAGAGATTGAGGGGATGGGGATCTACATATAACAAACCATACTAACTGGCCTTAGCTACCATCAGTTTACCTGCATGTTCTGACCCCTTGGAAGCCTAAGGCTGCTTTCCCTGTCTTGTCATTTCTCCATAAACATTGTTCTTTGTTGAAGACGGTATCTAAGCCAGAGATCTAAGCTGCTGTTCTAAGTCACTCATTTTCCTGGGGCTTCTTCTATGTATACCTGAGGCATTCACGTCAATAAACTTTTGTTTTTCTGTTATTTTTATTTAAAGGTCTCAACCAAGAACTCAGAAGGGTTGGGGGGAAATGATTTTTCCTCCCCCACACTTGTGTTCAGCTTTGTTCAAAAGCTGAAGCCAGAAGTATCTTGGTGTCCTGGCAGCAGTTCTATGCTCATTCATTAAACCCACGAGACTCCCACAGACTAGGTTTCCAAAAGCCATTGCTGAAGTCCCAAACCTTAAAATCTGAATCTTTCTCCAGGCAGGAACCAAAATCAACTGGTGGAGGGTAGCAGAATGTCACCCCAAAACCATTCATTTGCCATAGATTATGTAATCAAGCAGACCCTATGGGGCTTTCTCGGGACAGACCTTTCCTCCTTTCCCCATGTCCTCTGCTACAGTTCCTCTCTGGAGTACACAAATAACAGTATCTGATGCACAATCCCTGAATTGTTTTTACAGATGCTAAAACCATCAAATGGAAGAAACTACTTGATGATCTGGGCCCCGAGACCTTCTGGAGCCTAAGGTTGGTTAATATCAGCCACTCTGCTCTTTCACCATCAACCAGAGAACCGTGTGCATGAGCTGATGGCATACCTTGAGCTCCCCCCTCCCTCACCTGGCCTTTAAGACTGCCTGGTTGAAACCTTTCAGGGGGTCTGGGGTTTTAGAGCGCCCTGCCCTCCCGCTGTTGGTGCCTTTACGGTAAATACTGCATTTCCCCCGCACTGCCCGGGGCTAGTGGGCTGGCTTTACTGCTCGCTGGCAAGCCAACCCAAGTTTGGCTTGGTAACAATTATTGTGAGCTGGAGGTATTTAAGAAGCAAATATAAGGTCCCTGCCTTTCCCCTTCTGTCTAAAAGCAGGACATACATTTTCAGAGTTATCTCTGTTCCCCGCCCCCCCACAAGAAAGATGTGGAGACTCTAGATCCTATCAGTTTAGAGATTGAGGGGATGGGGATCTACATATAACAAACCATACTAACTGGCCTTAGCTACCATCAGTTTACCTGCATGTTCTGACCCCTTGGAAGCCTAAGGCTGCTTTCCCTGTCTTGTCATTTCTCCATAAACATTGTTCTTTGTTGAAGACGGTATCTAAGCCAGAGATCTAAGCTGCTATTCTAAGTCACTCATTTTCCTGGGGCTTCTTCTATGTATACCTGAGGCATTCACGTCAATAAACTTTTATTTTTCTGTTATTTTTATTTAAAGGTCTCAACCAAGAACTCAGAAGGGTTGGGGGGAAATGATTTTTCCTCCCCCACACTTGTGTTCAGCTTTGTTCAAAAGCTGAAGCCAGAAGTATCTTGGTGTCCTGGCAGCAGTTCTATGCTCATTCATTAAACCCACGAGACTCCCACAGACTAGGTTTCCAAAAGCCATTGCTGAAGTCCCAAACCTTAAAATCTGAATCTTTCTCCAGGCAGGAACCAAACAGTATGCTCAGATTTCCAGGAGGAAATGAAGCAGTGGGCCCAGTTACTTATGATTACTGGGATATTATATGGGAATAATTTTCTACTGGGAAAAAAAAAAATGGCCAGACCCGTGACTCAACTGGGAAAATACTTCCCCCTGTTGTATGTAATTGGAAGGAACTGCCGTTAAAAGATACTCAAAAGTGGTATATATAGTCACAACAACAAAAAAGCCCAATGGGAGAATGAGTAAATAAATAAGTAAATGAAAAAGGACTGGCTATTGAACACAGTGGAACATAGGAAATATTTATCAGGTTATCTGTAAAAAGGAAAAAATCCCCACAGTATCCACAGGAAATGAACACACGTGCTGAGTCAAAGAACATGGAGATGGTATCTGGGAGTTGCTGTGCTTGTGCGGACAGCAGCTACATCCCTGACTTGGCCAGTGAGCATCCTGCTTCTGCATCCCCTCCCCGAGGGTGGGCCCTCTGGAGGATTTCCCCACTTTCCAACCTAAAGGACAACTGTTAGTTTATTTACTATGAGAATGGCCCTTACAATTAATCAAAATCTAGGGGTGCAGAGACATTGCATCACACCTTCTTGAGAAGGGTGAAGAAGTGTCAAAACTTAAAGCAAAAACGAACCCTGGATTCTGTAAGCCAGGGCTGTCTGTGGCCTCACCCCCTGCCCCAGGCAGGAGTGACACTCTGGGCTGAGTTCGGGGATAGCCCCACAGGTCACTGGAGACACGCCTGAGAGGGCAAGGCCAGCCGGCTCTCCTCAGTGCCACTTGGGTGGAAACTGAAGCTGTGTCCCTTCTGAGCTTCACACTCACTTCCATGCACTCAGAGCTCCCAGAACTGAACCTCTGCGCCTGGGACCAGGGAAGGACCTTTTCCCAGAAGCCCTGGGTGGGCCACGCTCAGGGCGATTTGAGGACGTCTGTGTGTCTTAATCAACCCCTTTATTCGGTGACTCACTTTCCACATCACCTCTCACCTGAGGACTCTGCTGCACCCCCAAACAATCAGAGACAACCACAGACTTCCCCAGCAGTTTGGACCAGACTCCGAGTCAGGCTGGTGGGCTTTGAACCACCTCATGGCCAGCAGTCTCACAAGATAGTAGCTTTCTCAAGGGGTGGCCCCAGGGCCTGGGGGCTCACACTGCAGCCTGAGTAAATTCTGCAGGCTCTCATCTCTTACCCGAGACTGAGGCTGGGCAGGGCGGGCTGCTGAGGCCCCAGGCTCCGGGCTCCGCAAAGGACTATGGGTGTGATGCACTGGTGAATGGGGTCTCAGCACCTGATGACCTTGCGGGGTCCTGGGGCGAGGAAAGCCCAGCCTGCACACACTCATCCATGGCTTCCTGGGAGTGGCAGTGACAGAGTTCAGTTTGCTTCTCGATCTGAGTGCTCCTATGGGTGCTTTCCATAGCTCAGAAGACAAGCAGCCTCCCCTTGGGTTTTCCAAGCATCTCGCAGACTCAGAAGGCAGGACAAGGGGCTGCGAGAGGCCTGCTCACTGGGGAGCAAGTCCGTCCCCGGGCCCGCCTTTCAGCCTGCAGATGGTCATAGGGGTCAGGCTGCTGGAGAGAGGAGAGAAGAGGGCCCGCAGGGTCCCCGAGAAGGGCGTCTCAGGAAAGGTATACAAGAGTGACCCATCACTGGCACTGTAGAAGGACAGGTGTCCAGCCTCGTAGTCCAGAAAGATGCCCACGCGCCGGGGTGGGTCTCGGAGAGGGGCAAAAGCTCGCTCGGAGGAGTTGTAGTAGCTTCCCAGGAACACCAGGATCCAGAAGCCATTGCCAGCGAACAGCTCGCCCTTCTCCTTGCGGTTGGCGTTCTCTCTGCAGACACCCAGGGCCCAGCTGGCCCGCTCCCCCACCTCCACTTCCCAGTAGTGGCGGCCCGAGGTCAGGGGCTCCCGGCCCAGCACACAAGGCCCAGGGTCGAACCGCTCGGGGCTGTCGGGCAGGGCCTGCCGCAGGTCCCCGCGCCGCACGCTCCTCCTGTCCTCAGACAGCACCAGCTCCGGGTTGGCCGTGTCAGGATCCAAGGTCATGTCCCCTGCAGACAGAGCACGGGTCAACCCTCCCAGCTGTCTGCTTCAGATCCCTACACCCTTGCAGTCACAGCTTGTGACTGATCACACCCCTTCCCCTCAAAAAGATTACCCAACCACTTAAGAGTTGTATCTTGGAACATTCTAGAAATTAGTTCATGCTTCCTTGTGATTCACCCTCCTTTAGAGGACAGAAAGAAATCCTGAGTGCTTTCTATCCCCAGAGGGAAGTGTGTGTATTCCAGGGCAGCAGGCTCCCCAAGCCTAGGGTCCACACAGGTGCTCTGTATTTCTGCTCTTCCTAAATGCATCAGTGCAAAGTCTGGACCTGACTTGCTATCTTATCTGCCCAAGGGCCTCGATCGCTCCTAGTTTCTCATCCAGCGACTGGGAGCTTGCTGCTGTTCTACCCCCGACCAGCAGCAGCAGCTCAGGACTGGCGCCGTCTCTGGTCTGGAGACAGCAGGCCAGACCCCCCGGCCTGTGCACGGCACTCACCTCGGAACCTCCGCAAGGCCTCCACCAGCCCAGGGACCCTGCACACAGTCCTCATCTCCATAGGTACCACCTCAGGAGGCTGCAGCTTCACGTCCTGGACTCTGGAGGAGCAGTGCAGATGTCACCCCTGCGGAGGGCCCACCTGAACCCTGCCCCCCTTCCCTGGGGAGAGGCCGAAGCTCCTACCTGCGCAGGGTGTCCCTGATATCCTGTGGGAGAGACACACAGCGTCAGCACGTCTCCTGGTCTCGGGCCTGCCCTACACCAGAGTGCCCCAAACCTCCTGGACGGGCATGGACACACACACACACTTATGTGGTGGGAAACCACTCTGGAGCTGTCCTGAGTCAGGCATGAGGTCACCGGAGAGAAGCTCTGGGCGCACCCAGCCCTGCAGACCCGGCTGCAGCCCCTTCACATGCCTGGAGGGCACAGCGGATCTGGCTGCCAGCCCACTTACCCACAGAGCCCTAGGCACCCCTCCAGAGGTTGAAGGCTGTCTCCACCTTAGCCCGGAGCCATGCCTCTATCAGCCGAGCACTTCCTGCCCCCCAGGCCCGAGGCAGCTGGTGGTCTGGTGTCTGTGGTCTCTGCCCCCCTGTCCTACAGGCGCTCCCGCCTGGCCTGCACCGGCTGCAATGCCTCAGGTCCCCACTCACAGCTGGCCTTCCTGGTAAGGCCTCTCTGCCTGGATGCTCCTCTCTCTGGTGATGATGCGTAAGAACAGTTTACTCAAGGATCATAAAATGATTGTGTCCCCCCAGATCCAAGGCACTCCCTGCAGCAGGTCTCCTGACCAACACTGTGGGCCAAGGGTCAGCCCACCTGACCTCCCCCACATGCCTCAGCAAACACGGTGCTACCCAGGGCTGCTCTTCCCCCAGCACAGGCAAAGGTTGGTGCGGGGGGAGAATGGGGGGCATCTTTTCTGCAGTCAGCCAGGTGAACAGGGAACTGAGAGGATGGCCAAGGCCAGGAGCTATGAGCACTTGGGAAGGTAGGGGAGTAGTGGTGAGCAGTGGAGGGCAGATAGGGCAGTAAGGAAAAGGCAGCAAGGAGTGAAGGACAGGAAATGCAGCCAGGCCAGCTGAGGTCAACCCCTCACCGAGAGATCTCAACTGAGACCCCACACTGCATTTCATATAAATCTGCGGTTCTCATCTTTCTGGACCAATCTGCCCTCCCTCTAGAACCTCTGCTTCCCACAGCTTTTCCAGCACCATTCACTCACCTTCGAGGGCTGCTCCCTATCATCCCTAGCCCCCATTTAACTCACCTCTGCTGATTTCCCTCAACCCCTACCACACACTTGCCCAGATTCCTCCTGCTTCCCAGGCTGAAAAACCACTGTTGGCTCAGCAAAGGCCAAAAGAATGTTTTAGCCATAGGATGGCAGCCTGAAGCTGGTCCTTAAAGCTTCACTCAGCTCTGAAGCTCCAAGGAGGGTCACCTCCTGCAGGAAGCCCCCTGGACTGCACATGCAGTGTCCTCACTCCCACCTGAGGGCACAAAGTGCTGGGGCCAGGAGTCCAGCAGATTCTCAGGGGCAGCACTGGGCCCATGCAGGAATCACTGTGGGAGACCTGCAGGCTTTTCCTCTCAGCCCAGTGGGCCCCAACCTTCAGAGAGCTGGGTGGTGACCCAGTGGCTCTCGATCCTAGAATGCTACCCTGTGGCCTGGCCAGTCTCCAGGAGGGCTCCCAGGACAGGCACTAATAGTTCACGCAGCTCAGCATTGGGGTCTACTCTCCATGTTTCACAGGAAGGTGACCAGCTATTGACCTGGGAGGTCCAGGCAAGCATTAAGGTAGTCGGCTTTCTCTGCACAACGCTTCCCCCGCTTTTCTCTCCATTCCCACGCCTGGCCTTCCCGAGACCCCCACAGGCCCACGCCCAGGAGGGGTGCCAGCTCACCTGCAGCAGCCCCAGTGCAGGCAGCTGGCAGCGGCCCTCCAGCTCGGCGATCAGCTCAGCCAGCTGGGCGCTCTGCTGACCGAGGCGGGCCGCGCTCTCCCTCAAGGGGGGCAGCACCTCCAGCTCCTCCTCCTCCAGCCTCTGCAGCAGCAGCTGCTCCTCCTCCACCAGCAGACGGCGCAGCCTCTCAAACTCTGTCAGGACGTTCTGCCGCTGCGTCTCCACCATCTTCTGCGGGGGCCGGGGAGGATGCCTGAGGGCCTGGGACCTGGAGCCTCATTAATCCATCTGGGGTCCCCCACACCCACTCCTTCCTGACCCCAAAGCACTGCACCACCAGGGGCACCCAACAAACCCAGGGGGACTGAGTGTCCCCCCAAACCCCAACTTTACCACCCAACGCATTCCCATTTCCCCAACCCTCAGAGCCACGATCTGGGATCACCCCCACACCCATCCCTCCCCACGCCTCAAACCCGCCACCTGGGACCCCCCGTGCCTGGCCCTCCCCGACACCCACTCCCGAGTGCCAAACCCACTGAGTTTACACGGGGTATCCATGGGGTCTGGAGCAAGAGTGCTGCCTCAGGAGCAGCATGAGGCTGAATACGAACAGCAGGGTCCTGTGGTCCCTCGTGCCCCCCATCCCTGCCCACACTGGGCGCCTGGCCACCTGCCTGCCACAGGGAGCAGGTCTCCTCCGCTTGGGCCTGGAACAGTAGCGCATCCTCCATTTGCTTCCGCAGGTGTTCCAGGGATTTCTCCAGCTTGATCTGCAGGGAGGTGAGGCCAGAGTGACCTGAGCCAGGCCAGGCCTCCAGGCTGGCTCTTATACATGCTCCCACCTGCTCAACTCCTGCTAAGCCTGAACTCAGCTGGCAGCGACCAGTAGCAGAAAAATGGGTCTGGGACATAGTAAGTCCCAAACTCAAATTTGCCAGGAGATGCTCTCTGACTGGTGTGGCCCTTCCACCACTGTCCTCACAAGCATGGCTCTCCTGCTACTGCCCCTTGGCTGAATTTCCTTTCTTCTGTGGTTCCCGTGCCTCCCTCATCTCAGGGCAACTTTCCCACAAGCCAGTTTCCACTGCATCACCACCTTCTTTCTTCCAAACTCCGTCACTTCTCTCTGCCTGGTCTGGGCTTGCTGGATTTCAGCTAACTAGAACACATGGCAGGACAGGCTTACATTTGTATCCGGTTCCTTGGTACTGATTTCAGGCCTATGCCCAACATTGCCTTCAACCCTATTTATGACACATTCAACACCTGGTAAAGCCAGAAGGCCTAAAGGACTATCACAAGAGTGACCACAGCGGCGCTTGTGGGGTTTCCACTGTTCTGTCCATGTTCTAGACACACCAGGGCCCCGAGAGGCTGCGCTTTGTAGAGTCAGCGCTTCTGGGCTGTGCAGATAGCAGCCAGGGCCCTCTGATGGGCATCCTCCCCAGCACTAAAAGCAAGCACCAGACAGTGAAGGGGGCTGGGTCATGACGCTATGGTACCTACATTACTGAGAGCTGAGATGACAGCAACAGCAGCGCTCTCTGCTCTCCTCCTTTCAGCATTTTCCAAGAGAAAGGTGCCTCCCCTTTATCAGGAAGTGGGGGGCACTCATCACCCAGAGGCAAGCTGCTGACACCGAGGTGAGTCTACCTTCTCACCTGTTGATCTCTTCTGTCACTCTAATTTGCAAGCCTGAGTTACAGAACGTCATATGCTAGAGGAAAAGGCTTTTCCTCCCCTGGGAGAGGGAGGGTTACGTGCTACCATGGGAGACTATCAGGTCAGTTGGAAGATGCCTCTAGAGAGCTACTGGTCATTCTCTTCTCTTCCGATCACTATCCACACCCTGACCAGGAGCCTCAGCGACAGGAGCGCAAATCTGCCAGACTGACATAAGGAGTGGGTGTTCAAGTATGCACATTACACCTCAAAGTGAGGGAAAAAACCACAAGAACGTGTTAGGGCAAGTCCAGTGACGTGGGTTGGGTATAGGTTTATTCTGTTGTCCCAGAGGCTTATTCTATGATAATGATAGAATAGCAATCCTAACGCTGACTAAACTGTGTACTTGAGGCACCTCAGCAGCAGACAGTACTGGCCATAAAGAGAAATGAAAATCACAGTCAAAAAGTTTGAAAGAGATCACCCACAGACTTTATGCTTTGGGTTTCAGAAGCAAACTCGCCCACAGACCAGGGAGGGAGCAGGCAGTTGGCCAGGTAAATGTTTGTCCTGAGGCTCTCAGTATAGAGTGCTGTGTTAGTTTGGATTTTAAGAAATACATTTCCATAACAGAGAAACAGGGCATCTCTGCCTTGTCTACTGGCAGAGTATCCAAACGGGAAACACTGGTGGGCTCTGGCTCCATCCTACGTTGTTCCCAGACTGGGGCTCTATAGCAGCTCGCTGGCTGCCTTCCCATCCGGCCTAATCAGAACTTCAGCACTGACGTGGGCCCCACAGCCCTACTCTGCCCACAGACCTCTGAGAACTCATGCACGTCCATCTGGGACCAGCCACCTCTCAGGTTCCCTTCCCACTTTCTCCTACTCTTGGCTCCGTCTCTGCCAATGGTCAGTCAAAACTGCCCAGTCCCCACCCCGGACAGCCCTCCCACCGCCTCTTTGGGATCTAGACTTCAGAAAGCTCGTCCCCTCCCCGCCCAGGTTCCCAGGCCAGCCCCTCACTGGTGGCCGGTGCCCCAACCCCCTAGGATGCTGGTTTGGAACAGGCTGCACCCCCTTACACACCCCCGAGACCCGGCGCAGGCTAGAACCTGAGCCCGCGACATCGGGCAAGACGCGCCCCCTCCAGGCTCGGGCCCCCCACCCGCGCCGCGGCGATCCCCTGCCAAGCCGTGCTCTGCCCGGGACTTGCCCACACCTTAAGGTCTTCGGCCGCGTCCTGCAGCGGGCGCACGCGGTGCGCCCAGTGTTCCCCCGAACGCTCGCAGGCCGCGCACAGAAGGCGCAGCTCGTCGCCGCAGAAGGCGGCCAGCGGCTCGCGGTGCGCTGCGCACACCCCCTGCGGAACCGGCGACGGTGGGTGCAGGCGCCGCGCCATCTCGGCCATCTTGGCGAGCGGGCGGTTGGGTCGCAGGTTCCTCTGCGGGAACAGCTCGCGGCACTCGGGGCAGGCGTACGGGCCCTCGGGCTGACCCCAGCAGCGCCGGATGCACTCGCGGCAGAAGTTGTGGCCGCAGTCGGTCATCACTGGATCCGTGAAGTAGTCGAGGCAGATGGCGCAGGTGGCCTCCTCTTGGAGGTTGGTCGACAGGTCGGGTGCGGCCATGGCCCCAGTGGAATGGACGAGGGCCGCGTTCTCCGCCGGGTTGGGCGGCCGCTGCCGGGACTCTGGGGAGGGGGCGGGGACACGCGTGCGGAGCAGGGCACCAAGGGATTCGGGGAGCTTCGGGGCGTAGGGTCTCCGGGGTCCGAGGCCTCTCGATTCCGAGGATACGGAGCGTGCGGCTCCGGGACTGCGGCGGCTCCAGGAAGGTAGGGCTTACGGATCCCGTTTGCAGGCAGGAAGGGAAGCTCAGCAGCAGCGGAAGCAGGAAGCAGCTTTTTTCCCTTCTGGAACCACCCACTGTAGCTCCGGATTGGCCGTGGTCTGTCACGCGGCCTCCAGCGGCACCCAACTGGAGGCTGCTCACCCACTGACCTTGCGTCGCCGCCGCCACCTGCGCGCGAGTTCGTGGCTGGCCGTGGGCTGCTGCGGCTCTGCGGTACCTGCTGTCTCCCTTGGACTTCGGGGAACGTGAGGTTTAGGGGCCGGGGCCGGGGCCGCTCCGCGATGCGCAGAGGCGGCGAGGATTAGGGGAAGCCGAGGTTGTGCTGGGGAGCCCCAAGTGGTCCCCTGGGCGCTCCTGGCTCCTCGCAGGTCCCCGGGCTGGGAACGATCAGAACTTAAGGTGTCGGGGCTCGGTCCACTGGGACTGTTGGCCTTGTTCGGGGTCAGAGTACATTGGCCAGAGTTCTGGGGTTCCCCGGTTGTTAATGCGTCTGCAGTCATGGGGGTCGGGGGTAGGATGGGCGGTGGAGAGTGAGTTAACAAAAGGGACCCTGTCTGATCCTACTCTGAATTTTGCCCAGCAAAGGTGGGCAGCTCTGAGGCTTGTTGGAATTCAGCTTGAAAAGTCCCTTCACTTTTTCATCTCCCCCCTGTGCAGGACCCAGATATGGAATTTGCTGAGGACAAAGAAGGTAGACACTTGAGGCCTTGGCTCTACATATAAAAACCTGAACCACTGAGCCACCAGTGAATGGCAACATCTCTAAGTGGAGAGAAGGGGACATGGCTAAAGAAAACTACACCACACTGTGCCTTGTACATATACATGTATGTGTTTAGAAACTGACCCACTATGAAAGTTTTCTGTGTGAAGCATCTGTAAGTATCGACTCTTAATGATTAACTGCTTTAATCATGGTTCTATTTCCACTTTGTAAAACCAGCCTGCACAGCCGATGGCTTGCAAATGCCTCATTTGCGATAAGCTGGGCAGGTGGGCCTTGCTGAGTGGGACCAACCTCACCTTCTGGAGAAAGGAGGGTTGCCCAGGCTCCACCAGCCTGCGCCCCTATCCCTTCACCCACAGAGTCACTGTAGAGATGACCATCTGGCCTGATTTGGGGGCCCCAAGGCAGAAGAAGGGCTGCAGGGGGCCAGGGAAGGCAGGCTGAGAGTAGGTATGCAGGTGGGACCCATTGTTCACATTGTAGAAGGACACCTCTCCAGCTTCAAAATCCAGGAAGATGCCCATGTGGCTCGGAGGCTCGGTCAGTGTGACGGAAGTTGGGGGAAACGTGGCAGGTGCGTACCTCTTTCCCTTGCATAGCTGCACCACCCAGAACCCATTTTCTGGGGACTTGGGGACCCTGTTCCTCCGGCTCACGTTGTCCCTGCACACGCCCAGGGCCCACAGGGCATCACCGGTGAGGTTCATGCCCACCTCCCAGTAGTGCCTCCCCGAGGAGAAGGTCTCTTGGCCAACCGCACAAGGATAGGCGAGGAACCTGTCCTTGCCACGGGGTGCGCCATCCATCGGGGTGCTCAGGTAGCACCTCTGGCGGCTCTCGTACAAGAAGAGGTAGGGGTATGCCGTGGAGGGGTCGGGTACCACATCCTCTGGAGACAGGCCCGGGGTGGAGGGGAGAGGGGAACATTTCAGGGTCAGTGTGGGGAGGGCAAGGCCCTAGCAGGGACCGTTCATCCTAACCCCCACCCAGGCCTCCCTTTGGCTGAGTTCAGCTGTGAAGCTGGAGTTAACTGCATGATCCTATTATATCCCAATTGTGGATATTGGCGGTGCCAAGGAGATGGGGCTGGGGTACCATTTGGGGAACCCCTCTCCTATTGGTGGCTCTTGCCTTGAGTGGCTGAGAGCAGGGTGAGGCATTGCCAAGAGCCCCTGGGCCCCCACTTACCTTGGAAACTCTTGAGGACCTCTATCTGCCCTGGGACCCTACAAATGGTCTTCAGTATGATGGAGGTAGCCTCTGGGTACTGCACACTCAGGCTGTTCTTCCTCCAGTGGATACAGGTCTCACTGTTCCCTCCGGCCACACTTCCAGTCCTCTCTGCGCCCATCACCACCCCCCACCGCAGGTGGTACTCACCTGCTGAGGAGGCTTTTCATATCCTTCAAAAGACATGGAAGAAAGCAGAGAGACTGGCAGAGTCTGTGGTGTTCCCAAGCACCCCGTGTTGACATTTGGCCAGAAGAGCTAGAAGGGCTTTCTGTGTTGCCATGGCCGCATTTCCAGTTTCTATAGAGTAATCCCGTCTCGGCTATGCACAGTATCATTTATCTGACTTGCCCAGGCCTCCTCTTCCCCATCACCATGAATGAGGACACAGGGAAGCTGTCCAGCTCATGACACACCATGAAGGCCTCTGTGGGCCTCGGGCCTTGAGTGGGTCAGGAGTCAGTTTAGTGGGTTGCAAACAGATTACATTTTGATAAAAGGCAAAGTATTCCCCTAAAGGTAGAGAGAGTGTATAATCTGTTGTCAGCACCAGACACTTATTGGCAACAGAACCCACAGGATGCTGGGATAACAGGCATAAAAGTGACTGACGCAGGCATACTGGGGATCTAGATACCCTGCATGTGGCATTTGCTTCAGTTGTATAAACACATTCCTGTGAGTACGTGTAGAGTGACTCGCAATGTGAAATGTGTTTTTTTTTGCTGTGGAGTCCCTCGCTGTGCACACTTGAACCAGTTACCCACTTTTCAGCCAATATAAACTGCCCCTTTCCGGGCCTCCGTGTGCAGGCCCGTCCCTGCTAGGCCAGCTGCACCCTCCCCCACGTCCACAGCTGGCCCGTGTGATCGTGTGACTTGCTCTTGCCTGTGACGTCACCGGCGCCTCTCTGGGGCCAATATGCCCAGGCCCTGCATCATTGTGTGGACAGCAGCTGCCCTCAAGCCACATCCCGGGGCTATGAAGGGGATGAACACAGCCCAGCAGGACTGAAGCCTGTGGTGGGCTGAATTGGCTCCCTCCCCAGATTTATCTGTTGTGGAGCTCAAACCCCGAAGTACCTCAGTATGAGTGTATCTTTAAGATGTGATTAAGATAAAATCAGATCGTTTGGGTGGGCTGTAATCCAGTCTGACAATGTCTTTATAAAAGGAGGCTATCAGGGTGTAGACTGTATACAGAGGAATGACTCTGTGAGGACCCGGGGAGAATATGGCTTATAAGCCAAGGAGAGGTCTCAGGAGAAACCAACTGTGCCCACAACGTGAGCTCAGACTTCCAGCTTTCAGGAGTGTGAGAAAGAAATGTGTGTTGTTTAACACGCCCCCCCCCCCCCCCCCCCGCCCCCCGGCCTGTGGTGTTTGTTACACAGCCTGAGCTGATTGAGACAGAGCTTTCCCTGTTGGCCTGAATCTGTTGCCACAGGTCAGCCCACCCTGACTGCACCTGAGCCGGAGCTCAAGCCCCTGTCCAGCACCCCCAGCCAGGTACACAGGCATGCCGCCTCACCTGCAGCATCTGGAGCGGAGTGCGCTCATTCCTGTCCTCCAGCTGCAGGAGCAGCCTCTCTAAGGAGTGACTCTGCTGCTTCAGAGAGGCTGTGCTCTTCTGCAGCTCGGCCACTGTCTCCTCCTCCTCCTTCTTCAGGGCCTGGAGCAGGCGCTGCTTCTCCTCCATCAGGAGGAGGCCCATCTTCTCAAACTCGGCCATGATGCGCTCCCTCCGCTCCTTCACCTTCTCCTGTGTGGGGGCCAGCCAGGGACCTACCACCCCTAGTGCCTGCTTTCAGAACCCACCCACCAACCCCACACACCAGCTTGGAAGGGCTGCTCTGGCAACAGTGGCACATCTCCCCTGGATCCCAGTGACCCACAGAAAACCAGCCAACCAGGCAGGGCTGGGAGTCAGGGATCACACAGAGGCCCCCCTGAATGTCACTGGGGCATAATTTTACTCTAAGCCCCAAATGGCAACATCCAAGCGCCTGTGTGCCCTTGCTCCCTGCATCTTTGAAACGACCAGCCTGTGCTGAGGGCACCATTCTCAGTCCTGATTTGGCAGGAATTCTGGGAAAATCATTGCCCTTCTGGGGTCCTGTGTTCTCATCCACACAGGACAGTGATTTCCCCCCTCAAGGGGCTTCACAGGTCAGGAGGCCTGTGAGGACCCAGCTGGGCTTTCCCCACCATGCCCGGCTGCCGGGTGTGGTGGCCTCGGCACCTACCTGCCACTCGGCCAAGGTCTGTTCCTCCTTGGCCTGCAGCTCTCCAGTCTTCATCATCTCCTCTCGAAGGTACTCCATGTCCTCCTCCAGCTTCAACTGTGGTGCACCCAAACCATGGGATTTGGGGTCAGTGGGCCCCCTGCATGCCCCACATCCAGACAGTGCCCTCTGAAGCTGCATCCACCCTGAACCATCCCAATGGGGTGCAAGGGATGGAAATATGCTACCCCCAAATCTGTCCCTTTGGCAGAAGGATTGTTTTGAGCTGGAGGCAACTAAGAATCAATAGATGCAGAAAGATGCCTTCCAGGGGCTCCCATTATCTGACCAGAAGCATCTTACTGGGGACAGTTGCCCATGAAGAAGATGGAAAGTTGGTGTCAAGATGAACCTACACAAAAAACCCCCATCTTCCTTTACTTTCTCCCTGTATATATATATTTCTGTTATGATCTGAATGTTTGTGTCCCGCCGACATCCAAATTCATATATGGAAGCCCTAACTCCCAATGTGACGGCTGAGGTGGGGCCTTTGGGAGCCGATGAGGTCATGACAGTAGGACCCATGTGAATGGGATTAGTGCCATTATAAAAGAGACCCAAAAGAGAGGACAGCAAGACGCTGGCCATGTGTGGACCAGAAAGGGACTCACCTGACTGTGCTCATCTCTGACATCCGCCTCCCACTGTGAGCAATAAATTGCTGCTTATAAGCCACCTAGTCTGTGGAATTCTGTTACTGAGACGATTTCCCACAGTCTGCCACCCTTGGGAGCCTGAAACTTTTACCTTTGTCCTGTTGCTTTTCTCCAAATGTACTGTTCTTTGTTAAGATGCTATATAAGCCCAAGTTCTAACTGACTTTTTTTTGTACTGTTGCTGCAGTTTCTCCCAAGTGACTGGCATAGCAGGCATATGTTAGTAAATGGTTTGCCTTTCTCTTCCGTTTGTCTTTGCTCATTCTAATTCATGGGTCCCCAGGTACAGAGCCTCAGGTGGATGGAGGGAAAAGGCTCCCCTCCCCCTGCCTATCAGGGGGTGGCCTGGTTTGCCCCCCCAGATGGCTGCACAAGGACCAGGGAATGTGGATGGGCCTGGTTGGGGACTTGGTCAGTCTGGACTCCTGCATAACCACAGAGGTGCCACGAGACGGCATGGCCCGCAGCCTGCTTTGTTGTGGAGTAAGGGAGCACCCGCTGTGAGGTCCTGCACATGGGGCTGTTTGTTCCAGCAGCCGCTCTCTGCGTCATACGCTCCGTGACACATGCACATACTTGGGCACCCTTGTCGCCTGTCCTGGCCCCCAGCCAGGACCCACCTTGTACTCTTGCACGGCCTCCTCGATAGGGACCACCCTGTGGGGCCGGTGTTCCTGGGACTCCCTGCAGATGATGCAGATGGGCCTCTGGTCATCCTCACAGAAGAGTTTGAGCAGCTCTTGGTGCGCCTGGCACAGGTCCCTGCTCTGCAGGCTGGGGTGCTGCCGCACCATCTCGGCCACCTTGGTCAGCAGACGGTTGGGCCGCAGGTTCCTCTGGGGGGACAGCTCGCGGCACTCAGGGCAGGGGAAGGTGCCCTTCCGCTTTCTCCTCTTTTTCTGGCCTTTGGCCTTCTCCCAGGTCAGCTGGATGCACTCTCGGCAGAAATTGTGACCACAGGTGGTCATCACGGGGTCTGTGAAGTAGTCAAGACAGATGGAGCACGTGGCCTCCTCCTGCAGCTTTCTGGCAAGTTCCACAGCATCCATGGCGCCTGGGGAAGAAATGGAGTGTCCTGCCACATCCTCTCCCTGGAGCCCTGAGCTCTTCAATAGCACTCTCCTGGGCTCCTTTTGAAGATGGGAGTCTGAACCTGGGGTTTTAGGGTACCCTGACTCACCTTCAGTAACGGGCACAAATGTCTGTCTGGAAGCTGACAAAGACCCTCTCCTTCAGCAAACCCCAGCCAGCTTCCTCTGAGCTGTAGGCTTGTCTTTGGCTGGCCCCACCCAGTTTCACAGTATTCCCGCTGTGATATGTGATCTAGTTCCTCATCCCCCACCTTTAATGAATTGATGTCCTTGACCCTCCTTGAGCAAGAATCCTGTTAGGCCTGTTTAGCAATAAGCCCCCTCCTCATGGCACCTCTTGGAGATTTTCCATCACTGACCGCCATCACTCTGCTCCTTAGCTACAGATCTGCACCTGTCTCAGCTGCATTCAGAGATGACATTGCAATAGTCTTGAATAGTCTAGTTTACTCTTTTAACAAGCATCATAGGCTTCTCTTTAACAGAACCCCGCAGAACAGAGGAAGTAGGCAGTTTAAGAGGAAAAATCTCATTAGGGAGCAGGGTTGACAAAGTTTCTTTAACCAACTCTTGCTCAGGCTCCAGAATTTTCTAACCAAGCCTTGGACTTACATGCTTATCTCTCCTTTCTTCAAGTTTAGCAGAAATCCCGCTAGGTGGGTTTAACCAGACCCCCCCCCACCCCGCCCCGGCCCCCACTCCCTGCTACTAAGATGTTTCCTCTTAGTAACTTCTTGTAACTGACTACCCTACTCCTTAAAAATCCCCACTGGCCCATGTGTATTCAGAACTGAACTTCACAATCCTATATAGAAGGTCTAGTTCTATATAGAACTCCAGTTTCTATAGAACCCCAGTTTCCATGGAACCCCAGTTTCTATGCTAATATCTTTCTTCTTATTTCAATAGTCCCAAATAGAACCTGTTTTTACCCCTCTGCCATCCAGCTCTGATTTTCCTTGACGAGGTGCAGAAAAGATAAAGGCGGGCCATCACATGCACACACGCTCACATGCACAGGAACACACATGTACATATGCATGCGTGTTTAGACACACAAAGGCACATGCAGCGGCACCTACACATGTGCACCAGCATCTCAACACACACACACACACTCTGGGGTTGGAATGACTTGATGCAGTGGAGATCCAGTCCTCCTGGATGCACTTCACAGGGTGGTGGTTAGGGCTGAGTTAGAGTGGATTTAAACATCATTTCTGAATTATTAATGCAAGCACTGTCCAGGTTCACTTCTATGCAGTCTGAAACTATGGCGGCTGGATTCTGCAGATTCCTGAATGCCTGACATTGGTTCACTTTGCCTCTGGGAAGAGCTTTGGCATGAGTCTCTCCCTCTGCTCTCAGCTGCCCGTCGTTGGGACTGCTGCCCGTCGTTGGGACTGCTGCCCGTCGTTGGGACTGCTGCCCACCCAACAGAAGCTGGGTGAGAGTGGGGCGGTCTGGGGGAAGCCGCCCAAGGGCTCTGGGCCAGTGATGGTGGGCGGGCCTTCCTTGACGTTGCTCTGTAAATGCAGGGCTAAAATAGCGGGCTCCTCTGGTTCCAGTTTACAACCACCTTCAAAGCTGGGTCAGCCACTCCACTAGGGCAGAGGGTGCACGGGGTCCCGACCTGAGCCTCAGCACCCACAAAGTGACCACCCGCCCGCTCCCTCAAGGGAGTGATACTCACGGGGTAAAACGGTGCACGCTGCACCTCGCCAGAACCACGCCTCCAAACGCGGCCCAGGAAAGCCTGCTTGGGGCGATGGAAACCACCCGGGCGAGGATCCGAGGGCGCCGGACTTCGGGGCTTTGTGGCGTCAGCAGGAGCCCGAGGTCGAGGGGCGGGGCCGGAATCAGGTCGGGGACGGGGAGGTTTCGTGGGCGAGAGGTTGTCAGCAGCCTAGCGATGGGGGCAGGATTCTCCTGCCGGGTAAGGAGCCCTCACAGAGTTGGCCGGAGCTGAGGAGGCGAGGGAAGGAGCGGCAACGGGGCAGGGTGTGGGGTTAGGTAGGCAGGCGGGAACGGGAGAGGTAGACGGTGGTGGGAGCCTGGCTGTCTGCGGAGGGGAAGACGTGGGGGGCGGCAGGGAGAGGATCCCATATTGGGAGGGGCGTGAAGACAGAAGGGGCGGCGGGGGTCCGGCACACCTTTGGCGGAGATGGAGGGGGTCTCTGGTCGACCGGAGGCTCCAGGTCTCCCGGGGCTCCGCTCCCCACCCCCACGCTGCCTGGCTGGCTGAACTGTGTGTGTTTCTGCTGAGATCTCCAGGACAGGGTCCGGTGGGGCAAGGCTCAGGGCAGTGAGTGGGGTGGGGGCCAGAAACCTAGTTGAATGAGGCGACGTGTGTGTTAGTCGCTCAGTCCTGTCCGACTCTTCGCGACCACGGGGACTGTGGCCCCGCAGGCTCTCGGGTGTTAGTTAGAACCCCCCTGAAGTCCCTGAGGCTGCTCTGCAGGTAAGGTGAGTCTGCGCTTATAGTTTCTTTCAACTCAGAAAATAGACTCACAGGATTGTAAAAATATTCCTTTCTCTGACCTTTTCAACTGTGTTTAACTCTTTTTTCCTGGCTAAATAAGCCTGTGGCCCATCTCATATATCAAGAACGATTTAGACCTAGGAGCGTTTCTGAAATGTAATCATTTCCCAGAGTCCTGGGAGGATATGGGCCTACCTTGTCATCGAACTTCAAATCATCTTAGATCATAATTGTAGGAGAAAATTATGAAAGTAATAGGTTGTAGTTACTTAGCCATGGGAAAAGAAGAGGTTCCCTTCCATCTCTGCAATCCTTGTAACTATTGCTTGGAATCAGCATCATGTTCTTGTTCTAATTCAATAACAAAATGTTTTCTTTTTTTCTTTCTCTTCTCTGTGAGTGGTTTTCTGGGTTGGTAGCAGATTTTGTTGTACATTTCCCCATTAATGTGCCAGAAATTAATCGTTGAGAACTAACGTTGAGAACTAACAGTGATCAGATTCAGGCTCACATGTCTTTACCAAGAATATTGTGTACAGGTGTAGGTGTGGTTGCAGGTGCGACAGAACCAAAGTTTTTTTAAAGAACTAGCAAGACTGTTAAGCCTGCAACAGAGCTGGAGACCCTTGGGTCACTGTTGAGAACCTGAGACAGGGAGAGTGAGACCCATGACCCAGCATCACCTGTACAGCTTGTTGGAAGCCTGGGGGCAGGTTGTTGGTCCTTTATGAGCTTCTACTACTGGCTGCAGCACCATGCCACCTGCTCAGAAGGACACATGGACTCAAATGATCCAGGTAACAGCACAGAACATGCACCCTTCAAGAAGCAGCTTCTGCCCCACAAGACTCCTTATTCTCTTTCCAATGAGGAAGTAAATGGAAACAGCCCAAATGAGAACAAGCAGAGGGAATTTATTCATAAGCTCTCTGCAACAAGGGAGATGACCACCTTCCCTTGGCAGCAATTCAGCGTCAGTCCGTGGTGTGCAAGAGCTTCCTCTTGGAAAAAGAGAAGGTTTTGGGTGTGCCCTGATAGAGGCTGTGGGTCTGGGAAACTAGAGCAACTGACTAGAAGCAAAGTGTCCTGGCAAGTCTGACTGACAGCAGGTTGGCTTTCTGGGCTGATTAATGTAGAGGGTTTGTTGGCTTCCTGGACAGTTTTACTATAGACTGAATGTGTGCCCCTAAAATCCATATGTTGAAATGTAGCCCCTGAGAGGTGGGGCCTTTGGGAGGTTGATTAGGTCAGGAGGGTGGAGCCCTCGTGAATGGGATTAGTACACTTAGAAAAGAGACTGCTTCTCCCAGAGAGCTCCTTTATCCTTTCTATCAGGTAAGGACGTAGCAAGAAGATGGATGTCTGTAACCCAGGAAGCAGGCCCTCACCAGACACCAAATCAGTTGGTACCTTGCTCTTGGACTTCCATCCTCCAGAACTGTGAGAAATGAAAGTTTGTGGTTCATGAGTGGCCCTGTCACGATATTTTGTTATAGCAGTCAGAGCAGATTAAGACAAAACTGCTACACATTGTGGGTCAGAGTTCTCTTTTTATATGGTCTGGCTACTGTTTGGATGTTCAGTGTCCCACTGGAATGAAGCTGCTGTTAGATCAGGGCTTGTCTGACCCAGGGAGAGCCGTTCTTCCCACCCGATGGTTTCTAGAGGAATTCTTCGGGACTACATGTGGTGTAGTGGTTTCCTGCCCCATCCTGAAGCTGTGCTGGGTGACTCCCTCACCCTGCCTGTTTGGAGAGCTCAACCTAGCCACAGAGAATCAGCTCAGGCTGCAGTACGTGGAGACAGTAGAGGAAAGCTGTGGATCCAAGAGAAAGCAGGATGGGAAACATAAAAACATAATCTAAAACTAAGGAAAACGTGTTAGGGAATCATGGACTGGAACCGCCTGCTGTGACCAGGCAGCACAATGACTGCTTGCATGAGTTATCACACAGCAGGAGGCCCAAATAAGGAACACAGAACTAATGAACTACTGCCAAAAGGAGGGGGTACATACCAGCCTGTAACATGTCCTGCCAACCCTCCAGAAACCTTTGTGCTGAGAGACGCTTACACTCCCAAGGACTCTGAGTCAGACCAAATAGGGGCACAAGCAAGAAGACTGGCCAGAGAAACCCCAGAAAGCTAACCCCATCACCATAAAACCTGAGGCTGGGAGCCTCTTGGCAGAGCAGTTCTCCTGGGTTCTCTTACCTCACCATTCTCTCCCTGGGTGCTCCTTTCCAATGAAGTCTTTTTTGTCAGCACATGTGTCTCCTTGGACAATTTGTTTCTGACTGTCAGACAAGAGACCGTTTTAGGCCTTGGAAGGATTCCCTCTTCCCGCAACATTTGTGTGCCTGCTCTGTGGCCTTCAGAGCCTCACTTCACTTCACGCCCAATGACACAGACTGACAACTTCATTTCTGGCTCTTTTTTCTACTTAGTTTTGTGAAGTTTGAATCATTTCACGTAGAGTTTTTGTTTCCATTTATATTTGCCACTTTTAGTCAGAGGGACAGAAGCAAAAAATTAAAAGTTAGACTTTTTCTTTGAAATGTACAAAGCTAAGTATAAAGGAAATATAACCTTTCAAATGATGATTTTGATGTGTTTGTAGCATTTATTCTTCTGAAGTATAGGGAAAGAAAATCATTTACTAATTTTAGAGGCGTGTGAACTAAACCAATAAAAGATAGAGTAACAAGAAAAGCATAAACATTTTATTTATTTTTAAAAAATTTATGTGCTTGAGGGCTTCACAGACAAGAACTGTAACCCCCCTACTTCCCCCCAAAAAGACTCAAGGGCCTATTTTGTTAACTGAAAAAAATATACAATGTGACTTTTGTGAATTAAGTTTTATTGGGACAAAATGAGGACTATAGCCTGGGACACAGTGTTTCAGACACTTCTGAAGAACTGCTTGGAAGAGGTGGGGGGTGGTCTGTGTATATATGATTTTGGTGAAAGGATATACATGCAATCAAGCACACATTTTTGCATTAGGTTGCTGCTAGTCATGAGGAGCAGATGTCTCTGTTAATGACTGTAATGCTTTTCTAGATATAAGATGAAAGAATTGGGCTCATAATCTTCTGCTGAAAATATTGAACTGTCCAAAGGCCTGTTCTGCCTATTTTTCCCAGAGCTCAGAGTGCCTCATTCCTGATCTCCGCACTGAACTTCTTNGCCAACTGCTCAACACCCCACTGGAACTTGGCATTGTTAATTTTCAGTTTATCTGTCCAAATAGATGTGTAGTGGTATATCATCATGTTTTTAACTTGGGTTTCCTTGATACTACTTGGGCTTCCCTGATAGCTCATTTGGTAAAGCATCTGCCTGCAATGCAGGAGACCCTGGTTCTATTCCTGGGTTGGGAAGATCCACTGGAGAAGGGATAGCTACCCACTCCAGTATTCTAGGGCTTCCCTTGTGGCTCAGCTGGTAAAGAATCCGCCTGCAATGCGGGGAGACTTGGGTTCAATCCCTGAGTTGGGATGATCCCCTGGAGAAGGGAAGGGTTACCCATTCCAGTATTCTGGCCTGGAGAATTCCATGGACTATATAGTCCATGGGGTCACAAAGAGTCGGGTGCAACTGAGCGACTTTCACTTTCTTTCAAAGTAGCGTTGTGTGTAACCTCTAACAGTTTCTTTTTATAAGGTAGGTGCCTGCCTTACACTTTGGTTGCTAAGGTGTCCATTCAAAGGGGCACTCTGAAGGCTATCTCAAATAAATACACTGCCAGCTACATGACTAGATAAACAACCAGGACTTGAATGTGCACTACCTAACTCACCACTGACATGCCTTCTGTGTCCCAAGAACTGTAAGTAAAAAATTATTTTTTCTTCAAATTTCCTAATAGCTATTGCTGAAGAACATCTTGCAGAATCATAATAAAACCCACAAGGGTTGGTCCATTTGTAACATTAATTTGCCCAGGGTTCTGTGGGAAACTCGCCAGGCTCAGAGGAGTGCTCCCTAACGCCCAGGCGTTTCTAGGCAATAGCATTACTATTAAAGGTGGTGAAGACAGATTTCATCCCGTACTACTACGGGGATGAGAAAGAGACCTTGGTATTGAACTGATCTCAACTCCGAATACAACAAAGACAACTGGGATTTGTGGCCTATGAGTGGAGAGGGGTGGTCAGTGGTTGGAAAGTTACTAAGAGGGAACATCAGTGGGAAGAGGGTGTTGACAGAAATAATCTAGAATAGGAAAAGAAAAGTTTTATTTCAGCCAAACTGAGGATGATAGCCTGGGAGACAGCCTCACAGGTAGCTCTGAGGAACCGCCCTGGAGAAGCATGTTTTTCACCAGAGTTTTATATCTTATCAGAAGAAAGAACATCAAAAAGATAGAAGGTACATTCATTCAAGGCTTGCAAAAACCCCCCCCCCCCACAAAACCCAGACCAGCACAGTGAGTTAGTATGGCCTTTGTACTTGGGAAGGGAGTCTTATTATCAAAGGAGTACTAGTAATTGCAGCCTAAAGAAGGCATTTAATCTTTATCTTTTTAGAAAAAATATTTACTTATTTGACTGTATCAGGTCTTGGTTGTGACAAGTGGGATCCATGTGGAATCTTTCGCTGTGGCATGTGGGCTCTGGAGCTCACGGGCTCAGTAGTTGCATCATGAAGGCTTAGTTGCTCTGGGGCATGTTGGATGGGGTCAAATCCATGTCCTATGCATTGCAAGGTAAATTTTTAACCACTGGACCACCAAGGATGTCCATAATCTTTATCTTTAAAACAGACATTCTTTGCATCTTATCAATGCAAATTTTTCTTTAATGATTAAAGAAGATATACAAGGTATATTTGATAGACCATGAACCAGCTATTTTAGTTAGCATGAAATTCAAGTTATATCATGTGTAAGCCAGAATGATGGTTACCATACATCGATATTTGAAAATTCCATCCACCAGGGGGAGTCTTGCTTAACTAGCTGTCTTTGTTTAGTGCTCTGTAATAGGATACCATACTGTTCATGGGGTTCTCAAGGCAAGAATACTGAAGTGGTTTGCCATTCCCTTCTCCAGTGGACATTTTGTCAGAACTCTCCACTGTGACCCATCTGTCTTGGGTAGTCCTGCATGGCATGGCTCATAGTTTCATTGAGTTAGATAAGGCTGTGGTCCATGTGATCAGATTGGTTAGTTTTCTGTGATTGTAGTTTTCAGTCTGTCTGCCCTCTGATGGAGAAGGATTAGAAGGTTATGGAAGCCTCCTGATGGGAGAGACTGACTGAGGGGAAAGCAGAGACATTACTTTGCCAACAAAGGTCTGTCTAGTCAAAGCTATGGTTTTTCCAATAGTCATGTATGGATGTGAGAGTTGGACTATAAGGAAACCTGAACACTGAAGAGTTGATGCTTTTGAACTGTGGTGTTGGAGAAGACTCTTGAGAGTCCCTTGGACAGCAAGGAGATCCAACCAGTCCATCCTAAAGGAGATCAGTCCTGGGTGTTCATTGGAAGGACTGATGTTGAAGCTGAAACNCGACAGAGGATGAGATGGTTGTATGACATCACCGACTTGATGGACATGAGTTTGAATAAACTCTGGGAGTTTGTGATGGACAAGGAGGCCTGGCGTGCTGCAGTCCATGGGGTCGCAATGAGTTGGACATGACTGAGTGACTGAACTGAACTGAATAGGATACCATAGCGGGACCAGGGACCAAGCTTGATCAGTCAAGAGCGTTTGTGTTTTATTAAAGTATAAAAAGGAACAAAGAAAGCTCCTGACATAGACATCAGGAGGGGGACAGAGAATGCCCCCCCCCACTAGTCTTATCAAGGGAGCTATATACTTTATTACAGTAAAGAGTCTTAACAGGATTAGAACTAACAACAGAAAGGACTTACCAGACCTAAAACACAAGATAACAAGATTAGTCAGAAGATTCTTGTTAAGGAGAAACATGTCCTTGAGCAAGATACATTGTTATATAGACTAAGACAAAGCAATATAGAAAAAAAGTTTGTCATTTTCTCCTCCTCAAGAGCCCCAGACCCCTTTCTCCTCCTTGGCAACCCTGGACTTCTTATCAACCTACCTAAGAATTGACTCTCTCAGTGAGAGTCACTGAGATAAACAACAGACATTTCTCATAGTTTTGGAGGCTGGAAGTGTAAGACAAAAGTGCTGACAGATTTGGTGAGACAGATATGGTTCACGGACTTGCCTTCTTACTGTGTCCCCACATGGAATCAGGGAACTCTCTGGGGTTTCTTTTATACAGTTAGTATAAAAGAGCGCTACCTTCCTGACCTAATCGCCTCCCACAAAGGCCCCACCTTCTCATACCAGCACCTTGGGGGTTAAAATTTAATATATGAATTTTGGGAGGCCATCAAATGGTCTATAGCACTGCCTAACAGGATTTTTGCTCAAGGCAGGTCAAGGATGTACATGTACACTAAAGGTGGGGGATAAAAAAGCAGACATCAAGCAACTCTTGCTACACTGACCTAGCATGACCCTTTGCTAAAGGCACCGCCCAGGATGAACACAGAAGCCCATGGTCTGGGCCTTGTCGAGATGAGGGTTCAGAGGAGCCTGGCTGGAATTTGGTCAAGAAGAGTCTTTGACATGATTACAGCTGGAACTTGCATTAAGGCTTTGGGGCACTGCAAGTTGCCCTCTGGCTTGTGGGAGCTGATGGGCATTTGTATGCTTTGCCGTGATGTCCAGAATGACTGGGAGAACTGTCAGCATTCCTGGAAACTTTGAAATTGCTATTTTATGGAATGTAATATTGGGAAAATTGACATGCATACAGTATTGCTTTGGGGGTGTCATTCCATGGAGCTGTTGGGTCTTGGTGTCAGATGGGACCCTGATGTTCTACCCATCTTGTCAAAGTGGGGTCCTTTATACAGTTATCCTCAAGACAGGCACCCACCTCCTAGTGAATAAGATGTATGGCTGTCCTCCTTGGGGAATAAGGTGGGAATGGGCTTAGGTCAAGTATCTGCAGCCCTGCAACTTCCAGGCCTGGTTCCAGGCTTTCCTTTTAAAGTAACAAGAGTAATCCTCTCTTTCTTCTATCTCATGTAGCCCTTCAAATATCTGGAGATATCCATTTTGCTTTTCCCCCCAACACCTTGCCCACGGACCCTCTCCAACAGGTTGTCCATTCTTTAGCCTTAACACTACTGCCACTGTTCTGATTTAGCCTGGTTTCCAGATATTCCACCAACATGATAGTTTTTCTCTGTACTTACCATAGACAGCCTGCTGTACCTGTCAGGAGTTTGTTGTAATAACAAACAGCCCCACATCTGAAGATGCACCATACAAAGGAATTTCTCACATCTACTATATGTGCATCATGGGCCTTGTAGGGGAGGGAAAAAACATTTTCCACCCATCCTCTTATGCTTTCCCAAGGTCTATGAATTAAACTGACAGCAGACAGATTAGTGAAAGTCGCTCAGTCGTGTCTGACTCTTTGAGACCCCACGGACTGTCCATGGAATTCTCCAGGCCAGAATACTGGAGCTGGTAGCCTTTCCCTTCTCCAGGGGATCTTCCCAACCCAGGGATCTAGCCCAGGTCTCCTGCATTGCAGGCAGATTCTTTACCAGCTGAGCCACAAGGGAAGCCCAAGAATACTGGAGTGGGTTAATAGAAAAAGGATACTGATTTTTATCACATGTTTTTAAGTCTGTCTGTATGGCCACTTCCTAGAAAGAATTGAAAACACAAATTGGTGGTTAGACCCTGGGATTATTTACCATTTTTTAAAAAAGGCCAATAAACTGTGGAGAAGTGACTAGACTGAAGAAAGGGGATCTGGACTTCTAGGTTTGGAGGAGGGGATTGTGGGAAGGTAACTAAGGAAATGTATGAAAGTGAAAGGAAGTTAGTCATTTAGTCATGTCCGACTCTTCGTGACCGCATGAAATATAGACCACCAGGCTCCTCTGTCCATGGAATTCTCCAGGCAAGAGTACTGGAGTGGGTAGCCATTTCCTTCTCCAGGGGATCTTCCCGACGCAGGGATCGAACCCAGGTCGCCCACATTGTGGGCAGACTCTTTACCGACTGAGCCGCCAGGGAAGCCACAGGAAATGTGTGGGAGTGACCAATGATAGATAAGGGCTCTTATGCAGACTTGGCTCAGTCCCATCTCAGCTGATGAGTCCCTCTCCTTTTTNTTTACAAATGGAGGTTTTCTTTAAAAATGGGAAACTTCTGCCCTGCTTATAAGCAGAGTGAAGTGAAAGTCACTCAGTCGTGCCTGACTCTTTGTGACCCCATGGACTATACAGTCCATGGAACTTTCCAGGCCAGAACACTGGAGTGGGCAGCCTTTCCCTTGTGTAAACAGAGAGAGAAGCTCAAAATCATCAATAGAGCAAAGGAGCCTATTTTGGGGTGGCATGTTCTGAGCCCCTTTAGCCTCTCTGGATGATATGCATCCTCTTTCAGGAGGCCGGCTCATAGCCTCTACCATCTGGAACATTGCCACTGCCAGGATGGGGGTCACCAGCTCTCAAAGCCAGTTATTCCAGAAAGTGCCAGTGGGTGACCCTCTGGCTTAAAAAGCCCTCAGTTATTTTGAGCCACTGGGACCCAAGACACAGGTCTCTTTAATGACGGCTAGTAGCATCTGTTTGGGACTCAGCTACCTTAGGAAGTGATGGCAACCCAGCGGACATCCCAGTCCAGGCAGCCTGAGAACACGGAGCTTGTCTGGACTCTCCTCTGTTGGATTTGTGGGCTCAATACAACAGCCAGCTCCCAGCAGAGGAGCTGTGCAGAGTCTCCTGGGACAAAGGAGAAGACAGCAAGCTGATACACGACCCTTCAGTCCATGATGGCCCAGAGCTGATTTTATTAGATGAAGAGAATTTTTCTGTTCAGGTATCTGGGGTTACCCATTTCTGGAAACCTTTCTTCCCAGATGAGAGCCGCTATGACCCTCTGTCCAGTTTGTACTCTCTGTATCTGGGAAGCGATGAATGTAAGCCAGGGCTTCTTCCTCTGCTTTATTCAGTTTCTACCTGCATTCTCTCTCAAGGACAGGGCATGTGGGCCATCAGAAAGAGTTCTTGGGGGGTCCATCAGACAAGAAACCTATATGTCCTCATAAGGAGGGGGACAGACAAGTGGTGACCTATTGGAAAACTCTGTTCTGCCTAGATTGCGGTACCAGTTTCCTGGATCCAGGTCCTATGGAGAGGGAAGAGGGGAGCGGTTGCTTAAGGTATAAACTTGTAACCAGTAGATAAATAAGTCCTAGAGATCTATTGCACAGTATAGTGATTATGGTCACCAATTCTGTATTATAAACCTAAAGTTGCTAAGAGATTAGATCTTAATTGTTCCTTCTACAAATAAGCAATGCTGATTATGTGATGTTGATAAGTGGTGTTAATTAAGAGGTGTTAATTAATGTTATGGTGCTAGTTATATTGCAATATATAAATGTATCAAATCAACACATACACCCTACATTCATGCATTGTTATATGCCAATTATGGGCTTCCCTGGTAGCTCGGCTGGTAAAGAATCTGCCTGCAATACAGGAGACCCTGGTTCGATTCCTGGGTCGCGAAGATCTGCTGGAGAAGGGAATGGCTACCCACTCTAGTATTCTGGCCTGGAGGATTCCATGGACTGTAGAGTTCATGGGGTTGCAAAGAGTCAGACATGACTGAGTGACTTTCACTTTCACTTTCATATAAATGTATCAAATCAACACACTGTATACCTTACACTCATGCATTGTTATTTGCCAGTTATGGGCTTCCCTGGTAGCTCAGCTGGTGAAGAATCCACCTGGAATGCAAGAGACCCCGATTCGGTCTCTGAGTCCCTGGAAGATCTCGTGAGGGGATAGGCTACCCACCCACTTCAGTATTCTTGGGCTTCCTTGGTAGCTCAGCTGGTAAAGAATCCGCCTGCAATGCAGGTGACCTGGGTTCTATCCCTGTGTTGGGAAGATCCCCTGAAGAAGGGAAACGCTACCCATTCCAGTATTCTGGCCTGGAGAATTTCATGGACCATATAGTACATGGGGTTGCAAAGAGTTGGACATGACTGAGCGATTTTCACTCACTTCACTATGCCAATTTTATGTCAATAGGAGTTTAGAAGATGGTTCTATGAAGTCTCTTTGAAGTAAAAAGGAAGTCGCAGGTCTTGACCCTGGGCAGCATGTCATGTGGGGAGCAGGAGGACCTCAGATTTTGGCCCCTCCTTGGTTAAAGGAGGGCCTCATGGTACAAATCATGCCTGCTATTCTGTGACCTCTTGAGGCACAGGTCTTATAAAGGTGCCATGGAGGAGAAATGATCCGCAAGAACTCAGAAAGACCTGCTGGCTGAGAGATCACTGGTGACAGTAAGAGGAGAGTTGATTTTTATTTTAAGCAAATTCATGGTGTTGTCTGATAAATATAAGGAAAAGAAAGAACATCTGGAAAAGCAGACACTGACCTTTTGTTTAAACACGTACCTGGATCGGTTTTACTCTGGGAAAGAGTTCAGTCATTTCCAGTGATACTTACCTTATAATAGTAGACCTAAGACATGTTTCAGAATTTATGTTGCTGATGTTACTTAAATATTTTTTTAAATTTTATTTTCAGAAACCATGGAAATGGTATAAAACTTAATTCCAAAAGGTTGATAATGAAATTTTGAGTCTCTCTCAGCTGAAGGTTTTCTCAGTTCCAAGTTTCCATTTTTGAGATTGAATTTCTTGTATATTCTTTAAAAGGTACATATTCAAGCGTCTATTATTTTTATCTAAATGATGGCGTATTATGCATACTGTTCTACAACTTGCCTTTAGTTAAACCTACCAAGTTACCAGGACATGTAAGAACTTTCCGATTCTTCTTAATGACTTCACATTTTCCCCTCTGAAGCTTTGAGATTGTTTCCAATTATTTTATCATGAAGGTGGATTTATTTCTCTTCCCGGTAACCTGAGGCAAACAAATAGGACATTAATAATGAATGCTTCGGCTGATGCAACATTTTTACAAATACTTCTTACATATCCCACATCATGCTGGTATGGGGGCAACAGGCAGAGACCTGATGTACAAAAGAAAACACAAATTAAAATAAACAACTTAATTCTCTCTATGGAAATTAAGAGGATATGTCCGCCCTTCTTTTTCTTTCATAATTTCTTCCTCTGCCCTTTTTACATCTATGTAAATCTTTTTAGTGGCTAAACTTTCTAGTCTCATATCTCAGGAATGTTTCCCCAAGCACCTGGAACTCACCTCTGAAATGTAATTGTAAAGAAGGAAAAAACTTTTCCTCTCCCCTCTTAGATTCAGTATCTGAGGCCTGCAAATTAACATGACAAAAGACAGATTAACAGGGAAAAAGGCATACAAATTGTATTGATGTTAATATTTTTACATGCTTCTGGAGACTCACAGCAAGAAGTGAAAATCCAAGAAATGGTTAGACTCAGAAGCTTACATATCATTTTACCAAAAGGTGTTAAGTTGTGGGAAGGTGAGTAACAAATGTATGGCAGGTAAATGTCATTTAATAAGGTTTGTTTATTACTCATCAGGGCACTAACTTTTCATCTCCATGCCCATAAAATTCCCTCAGGGAGGGGCTTTCTGGCAGTCCTAATTTCTTAGAAGTTTCTGCTTTTAGTTAGATAAGGGAAGCACTGAGAAGGTGTCTTTCTACATCTATTGATTCTCAGTTGGCATCAGCTCAAAATAATCCATATGCCAAAGTGGCATAGTTTGAAGTGGCATATTTGGACCCTCTTAATAATCATCAATGAATATAATGCCCATTTCCCAACTTCCTTGGAGAAAATGAGCCTAACTATCCCTTGCAAAATGTATCTAAAGTATTGAATGGGTTGCATCTACTCAGCTCTGTAAAAGAATGAGATTTCTTACAAGCAACGATATGCCAATAAAATGGACAACATGGAAGGAATGGACAAATTCTTAGAAAAGTACAACATTCCAAGACTGAACCAGAAAGAAATGGAAATCATGAACAGACCAATCACAAGTAATAAAATTGAAACTGTGATTTTAAAACTTTCAAACAAACAAAAGTCCAGGACCAGATAGCTTCATAAGTGAATTATATCAAACATTTAGAGAAGAGCTAACTTAATCTATCCTTCTCAAACACTTCCTCCAAAAATGCAGAGGCAGGAACACTCCCAAATTCATTCTATGAGGTTGCCATCATCCTAATGCCAAAACCAGACAAATATATCAAAAAAGAAAAAAAGCAAATTATAGATCAATATCACTGATGAACACAAACATAAAAGTTCTCAACAAAATACAAGCAAATAAAATCTAACAACACATTAGAAGGATCATATACCACAACCAAGTGAGATTTTTCTCAGGGATGCAAGAATTCTTCAATATATGCAAATCAATCAACATGATATACCAAATTAACAAATCGAAGAGTAATAGATGCAGAAAATTTTTTTGACAAAATTCAATACCCATTTGTGATGAAAACTCTCTAGGAAATAGGCATAGAGGGAATCTATATCTCAACATAGTAAAGGCCATATTTGATAAACCCACAGCAAACATCATTCTGAATGGTGAAAAACTGAAAGCATTTCCTCCTACATCAGGAAAAAGACAAGGATGTCCATTCCCACCACTATTATCCAACATACTAGCAGTTTTGGAAGTCCTAGCCATGGCAATAAGAAAAAGAAATAAAAGGAATCTAAAATGAAAAAGAAGTAAAATTGTCACTGTCTGCAGATGACATGATACTATACATAGAAAATCCTAAAGATGCCACCAGAAAACTACTGTGCTTGGTCAATCAGTTGTATCCATCTCTTTGTGACCCCATGGACTGCAGCCTGCCAGGTTCCTCTGCCCATGGGGATTCTCCAGGCCAGCATACTGGAGTGGGTTGCCATTCCCTATTCTAGAGCATCTTCCCGATCCTCTAGAATACTGTGCCGTTGTTGACGATTGTGCTGTTTTTCAGTCGCTAAGTCATGTCCACCTCTTGGCAACCCCATGGACTGCAACACTCCAGGATCCTCTATCCTCTGTCGCTGCCTTCTCCTTTTGCCTTCAATCTTTCCTGGCATCCTCAAGAGAGAGCTTTGGCCAGTATCAAAGCTCGTGCAATGAAATGACGGTTTCTCTNCGTGGTTATCTGGGTCATGAAGATCTTTTTTGTATAGTTCTGTGTATTCTTGACACCTCTCTTCTTAATATCTTCTTCTGTTAGGTTTATCCATACCATTTCTGTCCTTTATTGTGCCCATCTTTGCATGAAATATTCCCTTGTTATCTCTCATTTTCTTGAGATCTCTAGTCTTTCCCATTCTATTGTTTTCCTCTATTTCTTTGCATTGATCACTGAGGAAGACTTTATCTCTCCCTGTTATTCTTTGGAACTCTGCATTCAGATGGGTATAGCTTTCCTTTTCTCCTTTGTCTTTAGCTTCTCTTCTTTTCTCAGCTATTTGTAAGGCCTCCGCACACAACCATTTTACCTTGTTGCACTTCTTTTTCTTGAGGATGGTCTTGATCACTGCCTTTCGTACAATGTCATGAACCTCCATCCATAGTTCATCAGGCACACTAGCAGATCCAATTCCTTGAATCTATTTGTCACTTTTACTATATAATTGTAAGGGATATTATTTAGGTTATATCTGAATGGTCTAGTGATTTCTCCTACTTTCTTCAATGTAAGTGAATTTTGCAATAAGAAGTTCATAATCTGAGCCACAGTCAGCTCCCAGTCTTGTTTTTGCTGACTGTATAGAGCTTCTCCATCTTTGCTTGCAAAGAATATAATCAGATTTCAGTATTGACCATCTGGTGATGTCCATGTGTAGACTTGTCTCTTGTGTCGTTGGAAGAGGGTATTTGGTATGACTAGGGCATTCTCTTGGCAAAACTCTTAGCCTTTGCCCTGCTTCATTTTGTACTCCAAGGCCAAATTTGCCTGTTACTCCAGGTATTTCTTGACTTCCTACTTTTGCATTCCAGTCCCCTATAATGAAAAGGACCAAAAAAAGAGAAAATGACATCTTTTTTGGGTGTTAGTTCAAGAAGGTCTTATAGGTCTTCTTCATAGAACCATTCAACTTCAGCTTCTTCAGCATTAGTGGTTGGAGCATAGAATTGGATTACTGTGACACTGAATGGTTTGCCTTGGAAGTGAACTGAGATCATTCTCTCATTTTTGAGATTGTACCCAACAACTGCATTTTGAACTCTTTTGTTGACTGTGAGGGCTACTCCATTTCTTCTAAGGAATTCTTGCCCACAGTAGTAGATACGATGTCATTGGAATTAAATTCGCCCATTCCAGTCCATTTTATTTTGTGGATTCCTAAAATGTCGATATTTACTCTTGCCATCTCCTGTTTGACCACTTTCAATTTACCTTGATCCGTGGACCTAACATTCCAGGCTCCTATGAAGTATTGCTCTTTACAGCATCGGACTTTACTTCCATCACCTGTCACATCCACAACTGGGCGTTGTTTTCACTTAGGCTCCATGTCTTCATTTTTTCTGGAGTTATTTCTTCACTCTTCTCCAGTAGCATATTGGGCACCTACCAACCTGGGGAGTTCATCTTTCAGTGTCCTATCTTTTTGCCTTTTCATACTGTTCATGGGGTTCTCAAGGTAAGAATGCTGAAGTGGTTTGCCATTCCCTTCTCCCATGGACCATGTTTTGTTAGAACTCTCCACCATGACCCGTCCATCTTGGGTGGCCCTACATGGCTTGGCTCATAATTTCATTTGAGTTAGACAAGGCTGTGGTCCATGTGATCAGTTTGAGTAGTTTTCTGTGATTGTGGTTTTCATTCAGTCTGCCCTCTGATAGATAAGAAGTTTATGGAAGCTTCCTAATGGCAGAAACTGACTCTGGGGGAAACTGGGTCTTGTTCTGATGGGCGGGGCTGTGTTCAGTAAGTCTAATCCAACTTTGTTGATGGGTGGGGCTGTATTCCCTCCCCGTTGTTTGACCTGAGAGCAAACTTGGTAGGGGTAATGAAGATAATGGTGATCTCCTTCAAATGTCTTGGGCACACACTGTTGTACTCAGTGCCCCTGACCTTGCAGCAGGCCATTGTCAACCCATACCTCCACCAGACTCCTGGACACTGACAGGCAAGTCTGGGTCAGTCTCTTGTGGGGTATATTTTCTGCAGTTGTGAATTATTAGAGTAAACCAATTTAGTCATGATATGCCACCCTAAGCGCAGGGTTCTATTTCATAGAATTCTTGGTTGCAACCCCAACTTAAACTGGTTTAAAATCATGGCACATTTATATCCTTACCAGGGCTCTGATCAGGCAGGTCCTTATGAACAATGACATCATAATATTAGAGTATCACCAAACGCAGGGTCTGGCTGCTCTTTACTGAAAAGCCAATAAGCAGGCCTGGTTGGTGGAAAGGAAAATTTGCTTTATTTCAGATGCTGGCCACTAGGGTTGGGGGAGGGCAGATCTCGTGGAAACTAGTGAGGCAGAAGCTTTTAGACAAAAGTGGAGGACAGCGACATGTAGAAACAGCAGTCAGTTCTGACAGTTATCTTTAAATTGGTCACTGATGGTCTGCCAAACGTCATCTTGGTAATTTCAGGTACAGTTAATCTTCAGATCCAGGGTCCATTTGTTCCCATTTCTTTGAGGCCAGTTCTTGGAATGGTGGCAGCTTATGTCATGGGTACAGCCTGGTCATCATGTAATTAATTTTTCACCCTAGCGTTTTAGTATCTATAAGACAGCTCACAGGATATGGCTCGGAATATTACCTATACCCTTGAGAAAGAACTAAAGTTCCTTGACTATTCTTACTGACATTGTCATTATTTGGTCTCCTTGTTTTCCTTTGTTTCCACATTTCCCACTTCTCCAGTTAAACTTATTTGACTACCGTTTTCCACAGACAAAAGACAAGTAAATGACATGGGGTGGGGGTGGGGGCAGGCAAGTACCATAGGGTCCTGCTGTTTCAATAATCCCTAGCACCAGCCTGGAATTATTGGTCACAGCTTTTATTGTCATGAAATTAAAAAAATCAGAATAAAACAGGCACCAAAATAGAGTTGGGAGATGAAAAAGAAACCTGATGCTAACTTGCAATACTTATCTCCTTTTAAATAACCCTAAGTCTGCAACCTTCCTTTTCTGTGCTTTGTGAAGTATTTATCTTGCAAGGAACAGATTAATTCATAGAAAGCAGCAAACCCAGACTGGATCTGCATGTCACCCGGTGACCTGAAATTAAAGAGCTCCTGGAATGAAGCAGACAATATCTGGAATTGAAGCTTTTCCGAGATACCCAGACCAGGCCTGTTCAAAGTTTATCACCAAGCCTTTGGTGGTGACATACTGCAGATTATGCCCACAAGGAATGAACTGTGATTAGAGGTTTGAAACTTTTAAAGCCATCTCCAGGAAGCGGACAGCAGCTGGAGGTTGCATTCAATCACCAATGACTCAATCAACCGTTCCTGTGTAATGAGGCTTCCATGACAATCCCTGTAGGACTGGAGTTTCCAGGTTGGTTAGCAAGAATTCATACACACGCCTGGAGGGTGGTGCACCATAATTCCATGGGAGCAGAAGATCCTGCATTTGGGACCCAAGTACACATCTCTTATCTATTTATAGCCTTTAATTTTTTATAATTAAGCCAGAAATCTAGTAAGTAAAAAAATAAACATTGGTTATTTCTCTTAAATACATACAGGCTTCATCATTTCAACCATACACATGCCAAAAGTGTAGCCCAAACAAGTATAGTAGGGAATGGATCTTATCCCCTTTGCACAATGAGAAAATCTAGCAGGCTTTTAATCAACTTAATAAAGTCTCAGTGGAGAAACTTCAAATCACCACCGATGGAAGAGAAAATTCTTTTCCCCCTAAAATCCATGCTCCCATCATCTCCACAGAGCTCCACTACTTAAAGTATGATTAACCACCCTGTGTTTCAACAAGTTCACGCAATGGGGATGGAAAACTCATTACCACGTGCTGCCACCAAGTTACCAGCTGTTCCTCAGCCGTGTCCGACTCTGCAACCCCATGATCTGCAGAACGCCAGACTTTCCCTGTCCCATCAACTCCCGGAGCTCGCTCAAACTCATATTCATTGATTCTGTGACACCACCCCATCTCATTCTCTGTTGTCCACTTCTCTTGCCGTCAATCTTTCCCAGTTACCAAGGTCTTCGCTCAAGTATTAGTTCTCCACATCAGGTTTATTGGCTAATTAACTTCCATAGCAAAGCTCTTTTCTTGAAATGGTAATATTTGGTACTACCCATGATTTCACTGAGGCTTCCCTGATCGCTCAGATGGTCAAGAGGCTGCCTGCACTGCAGAAGACCTGGGTTCAAACCCAGTGTCACTAAGATCCCCTACAGAAGGGACTAGCAACCCGTTCCAGTACCCTTGCCTGGAGAATTCCATGGACAGAGGAGCTTAGGCATCGCAGAGAACACGACTGAGCGACTAACACACACACAGCCCGTAAGAATCAGTCAGGCCTCTTAACTCAAAAGGAGCTAACTCGTCTGTGTGCAGCACTCTTTTTGAGCAGCTAGTGGCTCTGAAAAGAGCCTTTGGGGTCAAAATTACCAACCACATGCACAAAGAATCTAGGCACGCTCTCCACGAATTCGCCGTGCCAGCTGAACATCCTTAGGCATGATGGTGACACGCTTAGCATGGATGGCACACAGATTGGTGTCTTCGAAGAGACTGACTAGATACGACTCAGAAGCCTCTTGCAGTGCCATCACAGCGGAAGTCTGGAAGCGCAGATCGGTTTTGAAATCCTGGGCAATTTCCCGCACCAAGCGCTGAAATGGCAGCTTCCGAATCAGAAGGTCGGTAGACTTCTGGAAGCGGCGGATCTCGCGCAGTGCTACGGTCCCAGGCCGATAGCGATGTGGCTTCTTCACGCCACCGGTGGCCGGGGCAGTTTTGCGAGCAACTTTGCTAGCTAGCTGCTTACGAGGCGCTTTGCCGCCAGTGGACTTGCGAGCAGTTTGCTTCGTTCGGGCCATTCCGCTGCCGCTTCCACCACCTAGATAAGAGTAGCCGTTACAGCTTTCTCCGTCCCCCGCCGACGTGCGATAGCGCGGAGCCTGCCCTCTTTTATAGAGGGCGTAGCCTTCCCATTGGCCAATTGCTGGGTGGCGTAAGGGCAGGCTGAGCTCTGATTGGTCCATGGAGGCACACAACATGGGCGCCTGCCCCTTATTTTCGGGATGCGAGGGCTTGGCCTCACAGGCTGGCGTCTTGGAGCTCGCAGGGTTGCTCAGAGACCAAGTGGGTCTGAGTTGGATCGGGGTGGGCGTCAGGTCTGGGTTCAGGTGGGCGTCACTGTGTGTGTTGCATCTCCATGTACAGCTCCCTTGTTTTTCCTCAGCATTCTCTTCCTCCCCTATGGGCTGAGGGAAGAAAGTTCTAGAAGCTTACACTCTGCATTTGGCCTGTAGGTAGTGACAACTTGAATTTTCTTGAAGGTTAAAGGAATTCCCTCAATCATTGTGCCCTGCAGTGAACCATCTTCGCCAAATGACACTGACGGCACTCAAGATGGGGGTAGGGAGGTGGCGGCGGGATCTATTATATTTTTAATAAAGTTTTGTTTGCCTGAGCTCTTACTGGGCCATAACTAGCCTGCTATTTCAAACTCTTGCTATATCAGAGGAAAGCTGAGATAATCCTAAGTGCTTGAGCTGTAGTTAATTTGGTATTTCAAATCTATGTTGAGAACCTGATGAGAGAAATAAACCAGCCTGATAGTTATGAACAAGATGCTTATCTGCTCAGCTTTGGTCCAATATCCTATCTCTGAGCCCTAACCTGGGAATTGGCTGGGCTCAGGGTGAAGCCTTCCCTGACCTACCATCCCATCGACTGCCCTGGCATTCCTCTTCCTTATACCGGATTCTTCCTAGTCTTGCTCACTTCTCAATATAAAAGAAGATCCTTCACTACCTAAACCTGTAAGAGGCTTATAGACCTTAAGGACATAGCTGAAGGGCACCAGAATGTGCCATCCCCAAATACTATGCTAGTTGAGCGAAAGGATTGTTTTAAACTAGACACTTGAAAAACAGCTGATGGGACAGCATTCTGATATCACCTTTCTTACTGAAAACGGGAGTTAAAAGTCCCTCGTGAAAGATGCCTGCCCTATGCAAGAAGAAAGAGTCTTGTCATCGAGGATGAAATATTAAGACCAAAGAGGATTCTGCACAAACTGACCTTATTAAGAGAATTCCTGTCTTCTTGTAGCCTCCCAGGTGTAATTTAGTCATTTTCCCATAATTGCCTTTGTTTCATCTAACACAAAAGCATTTCGGTTTTGTCTGTGGGTATTCATTTCCTCATGAGGGCTCCTGAGTCATGGTGGAACTTTCATGATTTTCTCATTAATTCATCTTCTGTTAACAGAGCCCCAGCTAAGAACTAAGATGGGTAGAAGAAAGAATTTTCCTTTGCTATTGCAATAGCCCTTTCCCCTCCCTTGCAATAATCTTTTCAAATGAAAATCTCTGCTTACTATATCTGGAATTTTTTTCATTTGACAGTAATTGTTGCACAGAGTCCTGCCACCCTCTTCAAGTCAGGTGTGGTTGGCTAGGAGAGAGGCAGAAGGACCAGAGGGACCATCCTAAGCAAGCCCTGGGGTGCATGATGTGGGTCTGACTAGGGATAGACTCTTCATCTGACTGGGACACACTGGTTAATCTCCTCAAAGCCATCACTCATTTGGAATAGGTAGCGTCAGAATCTCTGCATGTTCCCAGGGTTAAAGGGAATGATGACGGATGGATGGATGAATGATGGTAATTTGGTAAAGCTCAGACTATTTAAAAATATTTTTAATGCATAAAGTGGAATGCCTCAGAATGTTTTTAAGTGTAAAATTTTTAAAAAAAAAATACAAAGAATCAATTATATTGAAGTTAGCAAAATGCAAACTATCAAAATATAAATTTGTCACATCATTATAAATGTGTATCAGTGATTAAACAGCTTCTAATTGGGGAAGACTTACAACTACTGTCATTTCAAAGTAGTTATGAACATTAAAGTTATTCAGAAATCTCTGTCATGGCTGTACCGTGATATGATTCCATACCCTGTCCTCTAGCATACCAATTTTATAGTAATTTTCCTAGAGTTTGAAATACAGGTTTATAGCCAATCTCAGTCCACTTTTTTTTTTATTTTTATTAGTTGGAGGCTAATCACTTTACAATATTGCAGTGGGTTTTGTAATACATTGACATGAATCAGCCATGGATTTACATGTATTCCCCATCCCGATCCCCCTTCCCACCTCCCTCTTTACCCGCTCCCTCTGGGTCTTCCCAGTGCACCAGGCCCGAGCACTTGTCTCATGCATCCAACCTGGGCTGGTGATCTGTTTCACCCTAGATAATATACATGTTTCGATGCTGTTCTCTTGAAACATCCCACCCTCGCCTTCTCCCACAG